TTCCTTGGTCTCAAGGGCAGTGTTGTTTCTAGACACTGGCCTTGTGTTTCTTTTCCTTTGTAGAAGTCTGAACAGAGGGCGGTGTACAACTAGGGGCCTCACTTGTGCTCTGGCTTCAGTTCCTGCGAATCTTAGGTGCCAGCCTTCCCATGAGTCTGCCCACTGGAGACACTAAAAGCAATACCTGGTGACGTCACGCCATTCCATGGCCTGTTGGTTCACTAGCACTAGTGTTCTCTACCTCCTCTGTACCCAAAGAGGCTGTTGGGTCTGAGGCTAGGCCTATAGTGATGCTGGCTAGGGGAAGGAGCACAGGCCCCCACAGTGTTGCCTGCTTTCATGCAAATGTGAACACTGATCTGGAGAGATGGCATGGCCCTTAGAGGCTAACAACCAGAACATCAAATGTGAACACCTACACGCCAAACGGAGGGGGCTGGTTTGTGGATTTGAATATGACAATGTGCTCGGGCGACTACAAGAAGGTAAAATGAGCACACAACTGGGAGTGAAGGAGAAGGGGGTGCCCATGTGAGAAACACTGTGTGTCCACGAGGGAAAAGAAAAATCTGTATGTGCATGGGGTACAGAAGGCAGCTGGGTATACAGCAAGTGGCTGCCATGGTTCCTGGAGCTGAGAGTGACTAAGAGCTGGGGCAAAGGACAGAGAAAGGAGAGGAGCTTCTGATCTTTGTGCATGTGCATGAGATGGGGATGCAGCCATAGTGGAGAGATCTAAAGAGAGAGAGGAAGCTAGTGCGTCTTTCCATCGCCGGAGAGCACCTAAGGCAGATGCAGGTGGATGGAACCACAGAGCTGAGCAAGCTGGGAAGGAAACACACAGGTGTGTGTCTTTGGAGGTGCATGTCGGCCCCCACAGGGCCCCGTGAGGCAGAGGCAGGCCACGTGCTTGGGTGACTGTGTGGGTATATGCTTGTGTGTATGTGAACATGTGGCTGTGTTAAATGAGAACAAACACAAGTGTGTGAGCTCACGTGTAGGAGTGTCCTGGGGGATGTGAGCCAGCCGACTTGCCTTGGGAGCCGCTGTGGGCTTTCTGGGGTGGTGATACCTGCAGGCATTCTCACTCTGTGAAGTACTGTATAAGAGGTCTATTTGACCTGCCTGATGCTGGCTCAGGTCCGGGTGACCATGGCTCTGAGCGTTGGTCATGTCGCTCTACCCGGAGATTTGTGTGGGAATGAATGAGTCATCCCAGCATGGCTGGCCCTCACTCTGCCTGCATCTTGCCCAGCAGGGAAGACAGTAGGGAGGGAGAGAAACTACTCAGGGATGTATTCTTACACAGTCATTACTGTGCAATTGCTCACAGTGTGCACGAGCTCTTTCTGCAGGACTGGCACCCTAATGCTCTTGGCCCCTATACTGCCATTCATTTTGTGCTCAGGTTTCCATTTAGGTCAGCAGATCTGGATGACCAACCGTTGTGACCATCTACTCCACACCAGGCTCAGATTCACACAGTCACAATGCCAACCCGCCTTCCAGTCCTTCCCCATCTCCCCCTACTTGCCTTTCATTTCTTCTACAGTCTATTATTTGCCATACTGTCCGTTTTCCTTACCTTATTTACTGCCTTTCATTCCTTTAACAGTAAATGTCTACATAGCACTAATAAGATGCCAGGCCCTGCTCTAAGCTCTCTATTAATTCCTTGAATCATCTAGCAGTTCCATATGGTACTAAAGCCATTTTGTGGATAGCAGATCCAGAAAGGTGAAGCAGCTTGCCCAGGAACATATTATCTCACTGATTAGTGACGGAGCTAGACCTAGGATCAGAGTCCTCATTTTTAATGCATAATACTGTGCTGTGGAGTGGGAACTCTTCTCAGTTTTGTTTGCTGCTGAATCTCCAGGACCAGCTAGGTGGTCAGTCAATGGTCAGCCATATCTTAATTAATTCACATGTAGGTGCTCAGTCGATGGTGAATTAATTCAGACACAGCTGAATAAATGCTGGGCATGGAGGACACAGAAGTGAAACAGAGGGTCTTGCCTTAGAGAACCCATGGTCCCAGGGAGGAGACAGGAATAATCCTTAAAATATCATATCAAGAGGGCATACAACCTTCCTGGTCTCTGGAAGACAGGGCTTTCCAGAAGGAGGGCAAAGGTAACACTGCCTCACTCTTCCCTGGGGATAGACACACCTTCACTCTTTCTGCCTCAGTTTACAGATGCCACTAGTTCCATGGAGACAACAGGGTCCGAGCAGGGTTGTGGTGAGGACACAGGCTCTGGACTGGATGAGTCTTTCCTTTAGCAAACATCAACCAGCTAAGGGAACTTGGGCAGAGAGCCTGACCTTCCTGGGTAGCAAATGATACCAACTTCCTGAGTATTGCATAAGGCAGGCAACGTGCCAGCCTCAATGGAGATGACTAATCTCTTCCATTCGACATTGTTTTCTGGCTCTGGGGGAGGAATCGGAGAGTTAGAATTAGTGCTTCTCACTGTAACCTCTCTGCTCTGGCTTTGTCCCATTTTCCAGAATTTGGCTCCGGGCAGAACTTGTCTATGAACTTTCATCAAGACGGGGGATGTATCTGTTTTATCGACCACTATATCCCCAGCACCCAGTATAGTACCTGAGACACGGTAGGTGCTCAGTAAATATACTTGCTGAATGAATGAGTGACTACATTTATTTACTTCCCCGGGACCTTTGCAAAGATGAATATTCACATTGTTGCTATTTCCATTAACAGATGATGGACTGGAAGTAGGTCCAGCAAAGTTAAGTGATTTCCCCATCAACACAGAGCCTGTAAATAGCACAGCCAGACCCAAATGCCCAGCCCCGTGCTGTTTCCTTCACCCCACACTCTAGACTCCTATACATATGTCCTACTTTCTGTGGATATTTTCTAGCCAGTGGGGCCATCCCTGATTGTAGAATCATCTCCGAATTCTATGACTCATATCTGAATCACAGAAGAGTTTAATAGTTGAAAGGGACTTTGATGTCATTGAGACCTCCCACCCACTGTGGAAATTTCCTCCCCATTGCCGACCTTCACTCGAATGCCTCCAGTGATAGAACACTCATTTTAGTTCTCTGGAACCATCAGTTCTATGACTGGACCACTTTGAGAGTCATAAAGTAAGTTCTGCATCCTGCGGGCCAAGCTCTTCTTTCATGTTGATGTGCTGGGCTTATGTCATCCTCCTGATAAGCAGAGTGGATCTGCTACCCCCCTGCACACGGTGGCCCTTAAGTTACTCAGTTTTCATATCCCTTTGGAGAATTATTTCTTTCCAAGTAGCTGCTTCTGGTCTCCACCAGGAAGCCTCCTGTGAGCTGTGCTCATCCAGCACTGTCTTGGTTTGTTTCTCTATTGCTGTCACAAAACACTCTGACCAATACCGACTTGGGGAGGAAAGGGTTTATTTATCTTACATCTCCTGGGTCACGGTTCATCAGGGAGCCCAAGGTAGGAACCCGGCAGGAACCTGGAAGCAGGAGCTGGAGCACAGGCCATGGAGGAACGCTATTTACTGGCTTGGTCCCCTGGCCCCTGCTCAGCCTGCTTTCTTATACAACACAGGCCCAACTGCCCAGGGGTGCCCCCGTATCACCCACAGTGGGCTGGGCCCTCCCACATCACTCAACAATCAAGGAGATGCCCTACAGACATGGCCACAGGCCAGTCCTATGGAGGCAATTCCCCAATTGAGGCTCCCTCAACCCAGGTGTGTCAAGTTGACACTAAAGCTATCCAGCACAAGCACCAACAGAAACTCGACCATGGTAAGCAACGGCATTCCTACTGGATACAGGAAAAGCTGCACCAAAAGGCTCAGGTTGTCAGAGCTTCAGGGAGGCGGGGCAGGGGCTGGGAGTGAAAACACTGACTGTTTCTTTTAAAGTCAGTTTCAGAGTCATGCCTACTTGTTTTTAAAGTTCATCTAAAATGTCACTCAGATACCGAGTTCTAAGCCTTCTTACCTATCACGAGCATGGTTTCTGAGACACCACAGGTTTGAGACTTCAAAGTTAGAATTCAAAGGCTATTATTTTTCAAAAGGCTATTTTTAAACATTGGGAGAAGGGATGTGGAAATGTACGCAGTGCTGGAGAATTGTGATGTTTCCATCTCACTCGCTTTGGTTTTGTACTATTGCTACATTGCACACTTGCTATAAGAAAAATGAAACACTTAACGAAATAAACAAACAAAAAACCCATTAAAAAGCCCTTTTCCTGCTGGAAGTGGTGGCGCACACCTTTAATCCCAGCACTTGGGAGGCAGAGGCAGGAGGATCTCTGTGAGATCGAGGCCAGCCTGGTCTACATAGTGAGTTCCAGGCCAGCTGGGGCTACAGGGAGACTCTGTCTCAAGAAACAACTCCCCCCCCCCAGGAAAACTCCTTTCCTCTGTCCTCTTCCCTTTATCCCTCCTACCAGAGTTAATCCTGGGAATGTGGTCTCCAGCTGGTGGGCATGCTGCCACCCTGTGGGTAGAGTGCCTTTGCCATGACTCCATGGTGACGGCCATGGCAGGGCTTCGGCCAGGCAGGCTCCCTCATCTGTGGTCACCTGGACTCTAGCTGCCGGTTCTCGCTCTCCCAGCCGCTGTCTCTGCAGGACTGGCAGGCCGCTCTGTGTGCCACCACCTGGCTATCCTCACCTCCCACCACAGCAGCTGTTTTCTAACTCCTTCTCTTGCTCTTGAAGCCTGCCCAACACACCACTGTCAGCTGTTCTCCCTCTCAGCCCTGGGATCCCGAACATCTCCCTTCCTCTCCACCTCCAAGCACACGCTCAGCTGTCCAGTACTCCCAAGGGACCTAGAACTACTGCAAATGGTAACAGGACAGGAAGACATCAGGGGTTCCAGAAGCAGATCCTCATCTAAACAATGACCTTGGAGCAGCAAGTTCAGTGTCAACCAGGCTCTACTCCAGCTCTGTGTCAGCTGGCACCTCCTTTCTCCAAGCTGAACTCTGGGGCTCCTGGGTGCTGGGGACACTCACCCGGCAGCCTCTCACTGCAGCACATGTCCAGGGTCCCTTCCTCGGAGTCATCGGCAGCTTGGTTCTTCCTCTCACTCCTGTGGTGGGAGGGAAATTGTAAAGGGATGCTGGTGAGCAGAGATGAAAAGCTGCCTCCTGCAGTGTCCCTTTGATTAGCTTCACCTGGTTGGGGAATTCAAGGAAAAGATCGGCCTCCCAAGCACTGGAGCTGCAGAGGTGGGGGCAGGATTTAGCAGGTGTCTTCCATGAAGAATCTTCCTCCTCCTCATCACCATGCGCCCTGCCATGGAAGGAGGGCTCACAAGGTGCATAGCCCTTCAAAGACTCTGAACCTGAGCCCTCACCATGACTCCATGAAACAGAGCTCATCAAAGAGGCTCAGGAGATTAAGTGACTTGCACAAAGCCTCAGAGCTCATCACGCTGGTGTTTGAAGTTATGCTGTAGGAACTCCAGCAATGTTCGTTATCATTGGGCCATTCTGTCTCCTAATTCCTGTGTTATCGATTACTATTATTATTGTGTGCGTGCATGTGTGTGTGTGTCTGACATGGTCCATGTGTGAAGGTCAGAGGACAACTTTTAGGAGTTGGTTCTCTCCTTCCACCTTGTTTTTGAGGTAGAGTCCCTCTTGCTATTTCTACCTGACTGTACTCCAGGCTAGCTGGCCCACAAGCTTCTGGCCATTCCTCTATCTCCCTTCACCTCCCACTTGACTGTGGGGCTGCCGGGATTTCAGGTGAATGACATCACAGCTGGCTTTTTACATAGGCTCGGAGGGAAGGAACTTAGGTCCTCAGGCTCACATGGCAAGTGCCTTTACCTGCTGAGCCATCGTGTCACCCATTCCTGTGGTTTTGAACCACGGGTGAGCTAGAAGAGGGGGCAGAGCATCACATAGTGCCATGTCTAGCTCCCTAAGATGTCCAAGTGCCCTGTACAATGGGGAGGGGCATGCAGAATGGACTCTGCTCCAGAAACTGCTAGAAACAGAAGTGTCATATGTATTTTGAATGCTCTACGTGTTTCTTTTTTGAGCTCTTTCTAGCCCATCAGGGTATCTAGCAGGACTGCCTTGGGATCCAGCTTTCTTCCTTTACATAATGACCTTGAGAAAGCTTGTTGGAGATCAGTTAGATGCCAGGAAGTGTCTTTAGGGTCTTGCTACCATGCAGCTCACAGACTCCACTGCTCTGGCAATGGCCTGCAATGCAGGCATGTCCCCCAGTGGTCTTGGCCCTTCATGTCTGACCCTGGGCAGTTGTGGGCTTAGCCAGAGCTGGACACACGAGTCATGCTATATCCATCAGAGGGTTGCCTTCATGCTTGCTGTATATTCTGGGGGTCTGAAATCTGCACGCTGTTGCCATGGCCACGCCCTGAGAGGACCACAGACATTCCTGGCTGGGGCCTTGGAGTTTCTTAGTTTTTCCTGTGTAGAGTGCCTTGACAAGCAGCACGTCCAAGAAGACCATGGGATACCTAGAATCCTGCCACTAAGTCCCCACATTTCAGTGTAGCCGATGAAACTGGCAAGCAAGAAACCTGTAACCCAGACTCAGTGGCACAAACTTCTAAGAAGGCCAGAAGGTTTGCAGCTATGGGTCCCCCAGTCCTGCACCCATTGATTCTGCAGCCTGCTTCAGGCCTCACTAGATAGTGAGGGCGGACAGGCCAGGGTAACAGGGACTCTTCTTACTCTGATATCTCCGCTTTCAACTGGCATCGTGTTATTTTGTTTCCCTCACTTCAACCAGCTGCATCCCAAGCCCCAGAGCCCAGCTGTCCTTCAGGCAGAGGGACACTACCTTCTAGGCAATGCCTGCCACTAAGTGTGTTCTTTATCTAATAGTCTTGGGCATCCACTCGGGCTGGCCCTCAGAACATCCTCCACACAGTGCCAATGTATACTGTTTACATAGGTTGTGCAGTTCACAGCCTGTATTCTGGATGGGGCAGGCTTGAGCTAGAATCAAATCCTCAAAATTCAAATTCATTACATAACCTTCCTTGGAAAAACACTTTCATGGCAACCTACTGCACTTAAAGTATTTTATTTATTATTTTATGTTTATAAGTGTATTGTCTGCATGTATGAAAGTGCATCTATTTTCTGCAGTCCCCTTAGGGGCCAGAAGAGAGCACTGGATCCCCTAGATCTGGAGTCACAGACAGTTGTTAGCCACCATATGGGTGCTGGGAACTGAACCTGGGTCCTTTGCAAAAGCAGCCAGTGCTCTTAACCACTGAGTCATCTCTCCAGCCCCCTACTGCACTTAAAACAAAGGAAAGTATCCTTTGACATATTCACTTGATCACCAGTGGGCTGGCCCTTTTTATCCCTTACCTCCTGTCCCTCTTTCCCTTGACTCTGGTTTCTCTGGACAGGGTCTTTTCTCCACAGTGCCTTTGCATGTGCTTTTCTGTGCCTGGAGAGCTCGTCCATCTCAACTTCCTATTTCTTATTCAGTACTTGACACAGCTGGAAATTCCATTTTAATTGACACCATTGCTGAACTGACATCACTCTCAGCTCTTAGGGTGTAGGCCAAAAGAGGGCAGTGATCACTGTTATTTTATTTAGCACGGTATCTTCAAAGTCCAATGCGGTGTCTGCCTCATAGTCCAATAAATACTTGGGTAAAGTAATAAGCATACGTCATCCCAACTTTCTTGAATAAACATTGGGTGCCCTGTTCAGCCCTAAGTGTCACATCTATAATGCAGCCTGAGGCTCAGGGAACATTGTGGAAGAGGGGGCAGAAAGATTCTAAGGGCCAGAGGGACAAGACACCTGCTACCCATTGATGCTTCTAGCCATGCTAGGGAAGCTGTACCATTGACATCTACAGTGTGGGAGCCCAGCAAGAGCTGCATGATGACAACCAGTGCACATGCCAGTGTGGATGAGGGAAATTTCATGGGGTCCTGCCTCAAGATGAAGAGCTACAGGCAATCAGTGGATGCTGAGGGAGGAAGACAGTTTTCTTCCAGGACTAGTTCTCTGAGAGGTTATCTAATCCCAAGTGGGCAGTCCAAAACACAGGTACACGCAAGCATCACTAAATGGACTCAGTACATTATATGTATGTAACATATATATGTAACAATAATAATCAAAGAAGAGAACAAGAAATTCTGAGGGAAAGGAGGTCATGGGAGGGTTAGTACTACAAATACTCATGTATAAAACTCTCAAAAAATAAAAAAAAAGTTGGGTACCCCAAGCAGCCATCATCAGAGTTAATTTGTGGGTCTCTGTTAAACTACTTGGGACCTTTTTCAACAGCAGTTAGGGAATCGCAGATCTTGAGACCTCTCCTTTCACACAGGACACTGAGGCAAGTTGTACACTAAATTGGGGACTACAGTCTGGGCTTGTTTTACCCAAGAGGACCCCAGATGGTGGACAGCTCATGTCAGTGATCCATAACATGGGGCAGAAAGGTAACCAAGGTGTCTGAATCCCATTGGAAGGGGATCCACGTGTGACTCACACCTGCTTTCGCACCCCAGCCATGTTCAGAATAGCTCAGTGCTACATGCGTGCAGCGGACTCTATAAATAAGCTTCCTAGAAAATGACTAATTTCATAATCAGAAAAGCAGAGAGAGTAGCACCTCTAGACTGCAGAGGAAAATGGAGAGAGAGCTGTGGCTCTGCCCTGTGCTTGAAGATTCGAGGCTCCCCCTGCCCAGAGCTATGTGTCAAGGCTATGACAGAGGAGTTTAAGGAGATTTCCAAAGAGAAGAGATGGCCCCATTAAAGCCACATAGAAGAGCCAGTCTCTGGGCACTGCCCTCCTCCCTGCCCACCAGCAGCAGAAACAGCAGCTCAGAATGGATCACTGCGGGCTCCCCTCTCCTCCTCCTCTATCAGCTGGGCAACTTTTGCTGAAACTCCTGCATCAATAGGCAGCAACTTGGTAGATGGCTTCACCCTGCTGTGTTGAACCAGAGAGCCTCAGAGATGAAGGAACCCCTTCAACCAGCATTGCTGAGCACCTTCTGTGAGTCAGACTACAACACGGAGCAAGCTAGGGCTCTTTTTCCACCCTGACCAAGCGGCTAGAGGTGCTAACATGATGGCTCCCTGACATTCCCTTAAACTGATGTTTAGCCATGGGGAGGCCTCCACTCAAGTCTGTGGGAGGAGGACGTGTCCTCCAAGGGGAAGGCAGGACTGGTTCTTAAAGGATGTTTCTAGGTGGATGATGGGTTGCTAGGGAAAGAACTTAAGCAGTAGAAATGGTTCAAGGGGGGCAGAGAGTTGTATGGAACACTTGACACTGGCTGAAAGTAGGTTTCCGAGGGGGGATGGGGAAGAAGATAAGGCTTAGGTCCCAGGGACGCACTAGAGCAAAATGCATCCCAGGTGTCTCAAACCTTGGGTAGGGTGGCCTTCCTGTGCTTGACTGTGTAGCTTCCCTGTACCCAGAGGCGGCACAGGCTTGTCAGAGCCAGCCTGGGCTGGGGGAGGTCTACAGCAGGAAGGGGAAGCACATGTGCGAGGAAGGGACATCGGGCTCAGCAGGTGGCATCTGATCTGGTCCCAGCTACTCCTGTTTTAACAGTGATAAAGTTCACATAGCATAAATCCACTATTTATCTACTTATTTGTTGAGACAGGGTTTCGTTATGCAACCCAGGCTGGCCTTGAACTCTTGGTCTTCCCGCCTCTCCCTCCTGAGTGCTGGGATTGCAGGTGTGCACCATTACATCTGGATGGAATATACCATTTTGATGTCTGTAATTTAGCATCACTGAATACATTTATAACGTTGTACCACAACTATCTAATGCCAACATATTTTTACTACCTTAAAAGGAAACCCCATAAACCTATTAAGGAGTCATTCTGCACCCTACACCTCCCAAATCCCTGGCAACCACTAATTTGATTCCTCTCTCTATGGACCTGCCAATCCTAGATATTCATATAAGTGAAATCATAAAACACACAGACTTTCATGTCTGGTTTCTTTTCATTAGCATGTTTTTGGGGTTCATCCAAGCTGATAGCATATATCAGCATTTCATTCCCTTTCATAGGTGAATACTTTTCCACTGTATGGACAGATGACATTGCATTTGGGCTGATGGACATTTGGGCTGTCTTTGCACTATTAAGCTATTGTGAATGGAGCTACTATGACCCACTGCTATTAAGTTTCTCAGAAGCTTGTGACTTTGGGCCATCATCTTCTCATCTATAAAGTGGCTACACCCGAAGCCTCTTCCTGCTGGATATCACCACATTTTATCTGTCCATCTGTGTCTGTGGATATAATGTTACCTTATAGTTACAGACCAAGCCTGGACCACCCATCCAATTCTAGTAGCTCATGGCTGGTGGAGTTGACTCAAATAGCTTCTGTGAACTGGAGAAAGTGTCTAGCAGAGGCTTTTTCAGCAGCAGCGGGGGAGGGGGAAGGTACCACTCCTCTGCCTGGGGTTAGGGTGGGTTGATGCTACTGAGGTCATCCTGGAGCAGTTGTTACTTTATGCAGTATTAATGAAGAGAAAGGTGACAAATTTGGTGTGGCAGGCAGAGGAGCCTGAACTGGCATCTCTGCTGGGTGATGAGGAGGAGATGGGAAGAGGAAGCTGAGCTGGGCGGATCTGGGTGTGAGGCTGGGCCAAAACAGATAAACATGCCATCCACCATGGACTCCTACTCCCAGAGCCCTCCAAATACTTCTCCTGGTCACCATGGAGCTCTTCCTACTCTCTTAAAGCTCCCTTTCCCCGTCCCAGACATTTCTATCTGCCAAATGTAACCTGTCAATTCACAGGCCCTGGCTCCTGTTGTTCCTTAGCCTGTGATAGTCTTTCCAACTTCTGCCACATCTTACTCATTCTCCTAGCTCTTCTCAGCACTGCCTCTTCCATGGAGCATGCCGTGATTTGCAAGGAAGAGTCAAGGCCTCCTACCTCTGGTCTTCCCCTCACATCCGGCCCACATTTGCCCTCTTATGTTGCTCTGCTGCTAGAGTTCGCTGTTTATGGACCTGCTTCCCTTGCCTGCTTCAGTGACATGGGAGGATTCGCATCTCCTCCCCCCCACTTCCGTATTCCAGGTGTTCAGTATAGTTCCTAAACCTTTGATGGACATGTTAAAGGTCAAACCAACAGGGTAGTGGTGTGAGGTCCCAGGGTTGGTGACTTTGAGGTCTCTGAGAGGGCAGATCCTGGTAGGAGCTTCTTGACCTAGAGAAGATGGTTGGGTAAAACGTGATACAGATTTGCATCAACATGCTCAGCATGCAGGGGCAGAGGACCTGCTGGTTTTATGGAGAAATGATCAAGCCGGTCACATCATGCAAAGAAGTCGTGAGTCATAGCATGCAGGTGAAGACTGTCTTCTCGAGGAACCACACGTGCTCACTCACCGAGTTCCCTCAAACTTCATTCCCAAGGTGTCCGGATGGGGAAAGGTGCCATCTGGGGCCAGGTCCAGAAGGCTTTCTTAGCACAAAGCAAACTGTAGACGTGAACACAAAGAGACTGGCTTCAGAACATCCAGATGGAGAAACTCAGGCACAGAGAAGTAACTTAAGTCACACAACAGGGTATGAAGAACTGTTTGCAGGTAGTTTACCAAATGCTGAATTTTTTAAAAAAATTATTTTTTATTTTAATTTTATGAGTATGAACGTATTGTTTGCATGTATGTAAGCACACTTGTGTATGCAGTGCCCATGTAGGTCAGAATCTCCTAGGACTGGAGTCACAGATGGTTCTTAGCTGCCGTGTAGATGCTGGGAATTGAACATGGGTCCTCTGCAAGAGTAGTCAGCGCTCCTAACTGCTGAGCCATCTCTCCAGCCCCCCAAATGCTGAATTCTTATTAGGAGTTCCTAGTTAGTTCCTTGCCTGGTGCCCTGTCTGCCTGTTGTGACAAGGAGGACCCTTCACCCAGAGTTCAGTTATCAGTCATCTCTGTGGCACCCCATGACTTCTAATACACATCTTCGCTGCCTAGGTTACTCAGGGTTTCTTCTGCTGCCAAAGAACCCAGAAGGATGCGTGCAGCAAACCCGGGGACGGCAGGCTCTGCACCCAAGCCTCCCAATACACAGTTCATGCTATTTCCATCCCTCCAAGCTGCCTTCCCTCCTGGCCCATCTGTCCACTGTCCAGCCATCTGTGCCCTCGTCTGAGCAGACCGCAAACTCGGCAGTGTTCTGGATCCTAGTCACGGGGCCTGGGTGTTCTCTGGCTGGCATGTGCACAGATGAACAACTTCCCTTTGAAGGGACAATGGGAGACACAGGACAGGCCCAGCCTGCTAAGGGGCTGGGCAACCCAGCTTTTCATCTTTCAGATGAGTCTGATGTAGGGACTGGCCCATGCATTTGTTCAAGGTATGTTTACTATAAACAACCACTTATGTGCAGGCCACAGGAACATAATGAACCACAATCATCTCATGCAGGTAGGAAAAAGGCCAGGACCATCGTGGGTGGCACATGTGATGGGAAATGTGGAGGCTGCCCCAGGAGAATTGAGAGGCCCTGAAGGAGGTAGAGGAGTATGGGACTGGTGGAGGAGTGGGGGTGAGTGGATGGCGGTGGTGTCCAGGTAGAGTGAGGGCATGTGGAGTTGGGAGAAAGCAGGGTATATTTAGCAAAGGAAAGACTGCCAGTCTGACAAGGCATGTGTGGCGAGTGAGGGTGGTGTGGGACGGGACGGTTCACTGGGATGTGCACTGGTGATGTTTTCTTCCTTATTTTCCTCCCAGAGGGGTAAGGCGCATGGGTCCTAGCTACCTTGAAGTTGGTTTGGCTGCAGGACCCAAGGCCATGTCCCTGAGGAGATGTCTTTCATGGTTTTGAGGCCTGAGGACGGTGGAGCTCCTTAAGATGGAATCTCTTGGCCAGGAAATGGGTGGTGAAGATGTGGAAAGCTGTCTTCTAGTCTAGGAGGGTGACAGAGACTCTGTGTGTGTGTGTGTGTGTGTGTGTGTGTGTGTGTGTGTGTGTACATACACATGTGTGAGTGTGTGTCCATGCTCTTGCGTATGTGCGCATGTGTGTGTGCATATGGCGACTACAGGTCAACGTTGAATGTCTTCCTCAATTGTTTACCTTATTTTGTGAGACATCATCTCTCATTGAACATGAAGTTTGCACTTAGCTTGACTGGCTGACCTGCAAGTCACAGGGACTTTGCCTCTCCGATGCTAGGATTACTGATGGGCACCACTGTGCTTTGCCCAGATTTTATGTGAGTGCTAAAGATCAAATACAGGCCTTCATACATACAGTCATTGCAAGTACTTTACCAACTGAGCATTCTTCCCAGGATACATACACATGTGTGACAGCAGGACTACGTGGGAACGGCTTTGAGATACACAGAGGGCTACATCTTAGCCTCTGGGGTTTCTGTACCCCACAGAAATGCCCTGCTCAAGGCATAGAGACAACAGACCCTGGAGAGTCCCCAGGCTGGGGCAGATCTCAGCTCTAACCAGTGTGGTTTCTTGAAGCAACCTTGGTATGGTCCTAGCAGCAATTGGAGAAGGGTGTTCATCAGTGAATGAGACTGAATTTCCTACCATCCAGGGATGGCAGGGGGCTCCGAGGGAAGTCTTGTTTCATTTAAGGAATACAATGAGACATTTTTCTTGATACTGAAGATTAAGAGATCTGGTACTGAGAATGGGCTCCACTAGAAGCTTGGGAGTTGGGGGAGAAGAAGACAGAAGGTGTGGTGATTTAGGCATTCTGGTGCTGTGGCCCAGGACCACCTGCTCCAGTCATTCTTGACTTCAGATCACAAGTGCCTCTGCTTTGCACCCTGAGCATGAAACGCAGGCTGTCCTTCACCTCCTTCACTTTGGCTTTCTCATCTTCCTGGAATGTTACCACCTTTTTTTGCCTCCATTCATTGAATTCCAGCTCAGGCTTAGAGTTCCAGCATTAACTAACTAACTAACTAACCAACTAACTAACTAACTACCTACCTACCTACCTACCAATTAATTCATGTGTGTGTATGTGTGTGTACATGCTATAACGTGCATGTGGGGGTCAGTGGACAACTTGCAGGAGTCAGTTCTCTCCTTCAACTGTATGGGTTCCAGGTATCCAACTCATCAGACAGCAAGTGCCTTTACCTGCTGAGCCATCGCACTGGTCCCTAAGTTCTAGCTTAATCTTCAGTTCCCTCAGGGACTATCATACAGTCTAGAAAATAGCAGATGTTCAGGGAAAATGACCAACAAAGGCAAAAGCGAGGACAGAAATGATGGTGGTGATGGGGAAGATGAGTGTGCAGATAAGGTTAACTTCTGGAAAGGGCCGGGGCTAGCTTCTGAAAGGGCACAAGGCTCTTTCTATGTTGCATAGCTGCTTGGAGGAGTCTCAGGATGAATGAGGCATCTGAGGACCGTGATCCCTCCTTGGAGACAACAGGAAGATGTTGTCAAGCCAGCAGGTGACTGTGGTTAGGTCCAAAGGCCCAGTTTGAACTGTGTCTGCCTGCTTTCCCCTGAACTTGGAGGTTCCAGGGCTGCAGAGAGACACCAGATACCCCTGTCCTGCCAAATCCTACACTGGTAGATAGGAATAGCAGATACAGAAGTTATCTGCTGGCTACCACATGGGGACTGAGCAGCAAGGTCCAACTGTTCAGGCAGCACGGAGAGAGGTCAGAGGCTCATGTCTGTGGCCAAGGCATTTTGTCCTGACTCCATCTTTGGGGTGAGGGTCCACGAGCCCCACTGTGATGCAGCTCAGGCCTTGAGGACCTGCTCAGTCCTTCCCAGGTGTTGTTCCCACTTTCCTTTTGTACATCCTGTTTCTTATGGTAGGTCAATGAGGATAAAAAAGGAAGGAAGCAGGCAGAACCAATTTTATTCAGGAACACCTTCCACAGCCTCCTGCCCAATGAAGAGGTTGAAAGGACGAGGAGAGAAGACAGAGATGCTCAGTATCAGGTGCTGTCCTGAGAACCTTCCTTGAGGTACAGCCCTCACAATATCCTCAGGAGGAATACACTGCTACCTCAATTTTCTAGAAAGGAAAGTGGAGATTCAGCCAGGTGAAGTGACCTGCCCAAGGCACACAGATAGTAGTTCCAACCCCACATTCTGAACCTCTCTTCTCTTCCACCTTCTAGCTCTGAGTATAAACCATACTCTGAGATAGGAAGATGGCCCATCCCATTAGGTGCTGAGTGCTCTTTTAGAAAACCCTCTGCACACATAGATGTGGAAACGTGATGGTCTTCATTTTACAGATGAAGAAATGAGGGCCTGAGGGTACAGTGGTGGTTCTGGTGAAGGACTAAGACAGGGATTCCTGCACTTCTCCTGGTTAGGGTCCTGGGGCGGAGGGGGGGCTCTGCTATGTCCTCCCCAGGTGCAGAAGGACTAGAAGATATGACCACAGGTTTTACCACAAAGCAGGAGCTAGACTTGGGAGGCAGGTTGGGGAGTGTGTGATGGAGGCAGCTGTGTTCCATCAGGGATGGACAAATATACTCACTGGCCCATCGCCTACTAATCCTTGACTGCAGTCACAGGCTAGACCTTGGCCCAGTCACTTCCCTTAATCTGAATCTCAGTATCCGGAATGAAAATCAAAGTTAAAAAAACAAACAAACAAAAAACGATGTTTAAGGAATGACCTCTAAGGGCCTGCCCCCTGCCCTGGTCAGGTTTCAATTCTGTGGCTGTCAAAGTTAAATGAGGCATGTGGTAGTGGTCCAGCAGAGGGCACTCACGACACCAGGGAAGCAAGGTCACAGAACATGGATAAAGGCTGCCAGACCAGGTGTGGAGAGGGACCAAGCTGTAGCCAACTGTTGACGGAGTCTGGAGTTGAACTGCGATCATCTAGCAGTTGACTATCCATACCAGTGACAGACCTATATGATTATGAACTGTGAACTGTGTGACAGGTAGGGACCCAAAGGCCAACTGAAGGTATGGAGGGTTCAAGGTCATCTGGTTTAAGCCTCAGTCCTCTCAGACTCTGGAACATCCCATTCTGCTCTGCCTCCCCAGGTATACAGTTTAATTGCAAAGAGAAAGCAGGCAATCAGAAATGTGGAGGTGTGATTACACCTCCTGTGGGGGTCCTGGTGTTCCTATCTACTTAGACTATCACTCCATCTCTAATGCCTCGGAATGCACCTTGTCTCCACTGGAAAAGCCCTTTTTATCTTCCTGGCCAGGAAAACACTCATTTTATTTGCTCTTTAAGAGAATGGGCTATCTGGTAGGCAGGAGACCAGCAAGGGTAGGGCACGGAGGATAGGGGAGAAGAGTTGGGGAAGGGATAAGAACAAAGCATAATGATGTGTATTTATGGAAATGGTATAATGAAACCCATTACTTTGTGTGCTAACTAAAAAAATTAATAAAAGAGACCCTGTTCAAATGTCACCTCCTTAGGAATTTTGGCTGACTTCCCCATGACGCCTGTGCTCCTTTTTCTGTTCTCACCCCTCTACTATGGTCATCTATTGATG